GTTTGATTGTTCGGGTCCAGGGGGATCTGCTCCCGGAGCTGGTTCGTTTATCCCATTTACTGGGAGTGCCGGATGTTTTGGTGATTCATCTTGGGGGTAATGACTTGGGAGCAGTCCTAATTGGGGGTTTGGGAACTACTCGAGGAGCACGAGGGACCAGCAGGCAATGGAGCGCACTAGGGTGAAGTAAAATAAAAGAGTATCAAAGTTTTTGCGTGATTTTGGGGGTTGTACAGTGCGGCACCTCATTTTCGAAAAATTGATCTTTTCAATCTGCAAGACGCTTTGGAGGCGGCCAATGCGGTGTTGGTGGGGCGGCCCTGCTGATTTTAGGGGTAAAACAAAGGGGCTTGTGGCAGATGAAAGTCCTTGCCAGTCAGGGTTGGACCAGTGGTCCATTGGAAATGGTTCAGACCTGATCCCTTCCCTAGCCTCGAGATTAAATTATGATGAAGTACGTGCCCACTGAGCAAAAGCCAGTGGTTAGCATGAATGGTATTGGAAGGCCAATTGTGGTGTATGGATGAGGGGGGAGGCAAGTGCCCAGGTTATGTTAAATGGTTGGCAAGGATCTAGTAATGGAAGTTGCGGTTAATGAATGTCATGTTAATAATGGTATTGTTTTAAATAAAGCTGTGGCCTGTTTGTCACCATTTACGTCTTCCGTCAAGTTATTCTGGGTAAGTTGTTATAAGTAAAACGGGTTTCTTCCTACACTATCCCAACTACCTTCACACATGGAAGATGCATTTCCAGTTATAGGATACAAGGGAGTGATTAGTAAACACACTAGGTAATTTTTCCACATCCTCACTTCTTCCTGAACAGCAGAAAATAATTCAGTCCAGAAAAGAATGGTTGGAGGTTTTTTTGTTTTTTGTTTTTTTTTAGATTAAGGCGAGCAGGGAAGGTTACTAGTTGTGTTAAGTACAGTCTTCAACATTAAGTAGAATTTGCTATTTTTAGTATCCGACCAATCACAGTTCACTTTTCTGAGTGGGTATTTCCCTGTGTAGGCAAGCTAAGTATGAAAAGGTGTATGCAGGGAAGTTAAGTAGACGGTATATGTTTACAACAAGAACTGGTTTTAAATGAGGGAGTCTGGTTATGCAAGAGATTATGTCAAGGTGGCAGTGGAGTGTGAGTGTTAAAGCAGTTCTTGAGGAGCAAACGTAGACTCATTTACAGAGAAAAGGATACACTAACAGGGTACTGATTTTTGAAGGTCATAGATATACCCATTTACAGAGACATGCCTACACTCACACAACAACAGAAGAATACTGGTATACACAGATCATCCACATTCAGAGGTTTATACACAGGTGCTCTCATTTACAAAAATATCTATATCTACAATTTATAATCTGTAGATAATCTAATTTGTAATATCAAAATCTACTATTTTCATGTATATTTCACCATCTCATGCCATCCTATCTTCCACATTATTTCCATCACTTGTCATTTTATATTCCCTCCCCAGCCAATGCCCTCCTATCTGCCCTAATGTATTTGTCTATTTTCCTCCCATACAATTCTATCTTATCCCAAGCTTCTTATAGGAAATCCTCCCTTATTCCTTATCCTTCCTCCCGAAACCATGTCATCTCATTCCAAATCTTATCCAATACTATCATTCCCCCCTCCCTTCCTAATATCATCTCCCACCCCTTACCTTTTTCCCACTTTATCCTTGTTGCCTTGGGGCAGCTGCCTGGGTTACATCTTTGGCTGGCCACTATTTTTCCTTCCTCTCTTATCACTGCCATACAATGATGTGCTTTCCAGCCTTAATGTTGGGGACCAACAGAAGCCAATGCTGTCTCCTACATGGGCCTCTGTTAATCAATTTCTGATGAACAGTGTTAAGACCTGTATGAGCATTTCAGAGGAATTCTGATATAGTTATGCTAATCCAACTGTTGCAAACAAAATAACATTACATGGCACGAGGGAAGGAGAATAAAATCAAAGCTTTATTTTGACCTCACGACCAATAATCCTTACTGGGAGTCTTCCATGCAAAACCTCAAAACTGCTAGCTGGTATGTTGGTTGAGTACCTCTGAACTACCCAAACTGCCTTTTTACTGTACAGTCAGCAGGGATGTATCTTACACGAGGCAAAAAGGCATCTGCCTTGGGCGGCACTTTGCAGGGGATGGCTAAACGCCCAGGCAGATCCCTTGCTTGCCTCGTGTCCTGGGGGGCTCAGAAGCTGGCCAGCTGGCCACTTGTGAGCCCCCCTGAGGCTGGCAGCGGGCAACGAGGGAGCATACTCACCTGGGCTCTTCCTCTTTAATGAAGCCAGGAGCAGGTCTGACGTCATATTCCGGCTCCCGGCTTCATTATGCAGCTGCCTGTCCGCCCCCAGCCTGCCCGACCAGCAACCCTACTGGACAGTTAAGTAATCCACTCCAGTTCTCCCAGGGAGGCTGGGTGGACTTAAAATAAAAAGAAATAATAATAATTTGTGAGTGTTGGTGGTAATGTCTGTGTGTGTGTGTGTGTGTGTGCGTGTGTCTGTGAGTAAATGTGTGTGTGTCTGTACGTGAATGAGTGTGTGTATCTGTGAGTGTGTGTCTATGAGTGAATGTGTGTGTGTGAATGTGTGTGTGTGTAAGTGAGTGTGTGTGTCTAAGTGAGTGTGTCTGTAAGTGTGTGTGTCTAAGTGCATGTGTGTTGCACCCCTAAGAAATTTTGCACCCATAAGAATGTTGCACCCATGGCAGCTGCCCCTGTGCTCCCCCTCCCCAAGCTAAGCCACTGCTTATCACAAATCCGTTCAACCATCAAAGCCTAAGCAATAATGCCAGTAAAAAAAAAAAACACACACACACACATAGACAAAACCAAAAACCAGGAACAAGCAAATTTATTTTTCTTCTTTTGACTTTGCTTAAAGAGATAATGAACTGTGAGCTTTAAAACATTTTCCTAATAATATATTTCATTTATAAAGCTTTTGTCCCTATGGAGATTCCAAGTGATATTGCTCACCCTGTCAAATATTCCTTGAATTTACAAGTGATTAATAGATGTTCAACAACAGTCTTGAACATTTTCAGTTATCCATGATCTTCATGCATCTATTCCTCCTTAATAGACAACTTTGAACAAATGAAACTGTTCGTGACTGTGCTACTGGATGAGTCATTAAGTGAAAGTTTAAACTGCCATAGAAAATGATGTGGTTTATTAACTAAACAGTGAAATGAAATCAGTTCTGAAAAAAAAAAACAGCCAAATTGGATGGATGTGAGATGCTTTTCTAAACCATCTACTTTTGTCTTAAAACTGCTGTTTATTCACTAAATGGCAAGTTGCTTAAGCACTTAGAGGTCAATTCACTGAGTGCCGAAAGGGTAGCCTAATGGCATTTGAAGGTTTAAATCAGGCTTCCCCAAACTTCGGCCCTCCAGATGTTGCTGAACTACAACTCCCATGATGCTCAGCCTATCTATTTCATTCATGGAATCTTGGGAGTTGTAGTTCAGCAACATCTGGAGGGACAGAGTTTGGGGAAGCCTGGTTTAAATTCATATTTACCAGCACATTTGGCTAAATTCAGTAAGTTCATACATAATTTGCATCATAATTCAGCTGTTATGTTTTAGCTATAACAGCCAGAACCTCACAGAAAATACAGTACACCTTCCAGGAATTCCATCAGCTGAATTTAAATTATTTTTATAGATTAATGATAGAGGCAAATTTGCTAAGGTAACACTAATAAATCCCAACTGAGTTGCACAATATAAATACAATGTATTTCTGAAATGGGCTCTAATTAGTTGGTTATTGTGCAAGCACTTATTAAATAATAAACACACCTCAAAGTTTCAAATTCATCTTACTCATTTTTGATCAAATTACCTTTATAATTTGGGATTGACAATCCTGTCCATACTTTCTATTTCGAATATTTAGAACATATTTAAATATTATACCCACTCAAGCTTTATTTCCATTTAATGTAATTTAATTTTTATTTCCATACTAATTAAATTGGAAGAAGTTGGATTAATTTACCCTGTGTAGGAAGAGTCACATTGAAGCTTGTATATGATTATTCTATAAGTGGAATGTTTATTGAACAGAAGTTGCTATGTGTCAATCGGCGATTACATTTTTGGCAATAAAATTCACCACTGCATATGTCTTTGTTTTTATAAATAAATAAATAACATGCTAATATGTTAGAGAAAAGTATAACTTTATTTGGAAAGTCTACAGTAAATTATTAACAAGTTGTGAATTTGAACTAGATAAAAACAGTTTTGCATGTAAACGGGTATTCAAATTTCTGTAGCATTCCTTTCAAACACTAAATCGAATCTTGTTAGTGTGTATTTTAGAGGTACTCTATACAAGTTTGCAACAATGTTTTGGACTGCATCTATAGTTCAGTAAGGAAATTCCTGCTCTAGTAACAATCACAAACCCTTAAAGGGACACTCCAGACCCCTAAAGCACTTTAACTTGCTGAGAGGCTTTATGAGTAAAGAATATGTTCTCTCTTTTTTTAGTTGTACAAAAGTGCTTTAACTGTTAATTGTTAAGTGCATTAACTAGTATTAATTAACCTGGTTACACCCCTTTGGTTTTCAAACAGACAACGGTATTGTTACTTCCTGGTTCGATTATCTCAGTGGAGCTAAACTCAAGAGGCAGCAATTGCTCAGAGCACCTGCCTTGCAAAGACTTCTCATTGAGATGCATTGGGAAGCCTCTGATTGGACAGACACAGAAAGTCTTGGCAGGGTTAGAAGAGGTGGGTTTGCAGAGGCAGTAGACAAGAGAACTACCGTATATACTCGTGTATAAGTCGATCTCATGTATAAGTCGAGTGCAGTTTTGTGACCAACAGTTGTGAAATATGCTATGCCTCATGGATAAGTCGAGGGTAAAACTTGGGGCTATGAAATTCTGTGATTTTTATAATTATATACACACATACAAACACACACTCTGCATTAGATATACCCACACTCATACAAACACACACTCTGCATTATATACACACACTCTGTGTATATAATGCAGTGTGTATATAATGCAGAGTGTGTATATAATGCAGAGTATGTATATAATGCAGAGTGTGTGTTTGTGTAGTGTGTGTGAACTGGGTGGGGGGAGGGCATTTTTATTATTTTAATTTTAATTTTATTTTAATATTATTATTTTTTTATTATTTTAATTTTTTTTTTGTCCCCCCTCCCTGCTTGTTAACTGGTCATGGAGGGGGGCTATCTTAATCCCTGGTGGTCCAGTGGCATGGGCTGTGAAGTGGGGGGGCCGGCAGGAAGCATTTACTTACCTTTCCTGCAGCTCCTGTCAGCTCCCTTCTCCACCGTTTCGGTCAGCTCCACAGTAAGTATCGCGGTCTGGTTGCCGTGCGGATCGTTGCCACGGCTCTGACGGTCGCGGCTCTCTAAGTTGCCATAATACAGACAGTGACTCGAGTATAAGTCGAGTGTGGGTTTTTAAGCACAAAAAATGTGCTGAAAAACTAGACTTATACTCGAGTATATACTGTATATGTTTTGCAAGCTGTTTTTAAATATAACGCCAATAAAAAAATATGCATGATTAAATACATAAAACAAATGAATAGAAAAGGGGTGCAAATTACAAGCAAAAGTAGTGAGTTAAAACCAGTTTTCATGCATTGCATAATGTCTGTTGATTAATCTGTAAAAACATAAACACTAACATAGCATAATATTGTTTTAAAAATCAGATTAAAATCAAAGGTAATGGGTCACTCACAATATCCAGAGCCACATATAGCAGGCTCTGGCTGTAAAGGTGTTGGTCCACTCCGTCCTCAATAATAAATAGTCTTTCAGAATGGTAAGAATTTAAAAGGAAATTTACTGAAAAATAAAACATAAAACAAGTGTAAAAGCAAATGCAAAATAGAGACTGTATAGAGACTAAAAGTCTAAGCACAACGCGTTTCAACCTTTTTGGTCTTCTTTCTGGTGCATATAATCCTTCCCTGCATCCCTTAATTTTAAGTCCGGTAGTCAGGAAGTAGATTTTCTCGCCCACGATCGCTCTGTGACTCCCCCCCATCAGCGTCTTGTGTCAAATAATGTTTTTAACTCAATACTTTTGCTTGTAATTTGCACCCCCTTTTCCATTCATTTGTTTTCTGTTTTAATTCAGTGTCTTATTTGTGGTTAAGGACACAAGGGGTTGTTGCATTTTATAACAGATCAGCACCAATCCACTAATTTCCCATTCTATATTTGGGTTTTTCACTAATGATTAAATACATTCACGTATTCATTTAGGGTATACAGGGAGTGCAGAATTATTAGGCAAATGAGTATTTTGACCACATCATCCTCTTTATGCATGTTGTCTTACTCCAAGCTGTATAGGCTCGAAAGCCTACTACCAATTAAGCATATTAGGTGATGTGCATCTCTGTAATGAGAAGGGGTGTGGTCTAATGACATCAACACCCTATATCAGGTGTGCATAATTATTAGGCAACTTCCTTTCCTTTGGCAAAATGGGTCAAAAGAAGGACTTGACAGGCTCAGAAAAGTCAAAAATAGTGAGATATCTTGCAGAGGGATGCAGCACTCTTAAAATTGCAAAGCTTCTGAAGCGTGATCATCGAACAATCAAGCGTTTCATTCAAAATAGTCAACAGGGTCGCAAGAAGCGTGTGGAAAAACCAAGGCGCAAAATAACTGCCCATGAACTGAGAAAAGTCAAGCGTGCAGCTGCCACGATGCCACTTGCCACCAGTTTGGCCATATTTCAGAGCTGCAACATCACTGGAGTGCCCAAAAGCACAAGGTGTGCAATACTCAGAGACATGGCCAAGGTAAGAAAGGCTGAAAGACGACCACCACTGAACAAGACACACAAGCTGAAACGTCAAGACTGGGCCAAGAAATATCTCAAGACTGATTTTTCTAAGGTTTTATGGACTGATGAAATGAGAGTGAGTCTTGATGGGCCAGATGGATGGGCCCGTGGCTGGATTGGTAAAGGGCAGAGAGCTCCAGTCCGACTCAGGCGCCAGCAAGGTGGAGGTGGAGTACTGGTTTGGGCTGGTATCATCAAAGATGAGCTTGTGGGGCCTTTTCGGGTTGAGGATGGAGTCAAGCTCAACTCCCAGTCCTACTGCCAGTTCCTGGAAGACACCTTCTTCAAGCAGTGGTACAGGAAGAAGTCTGCATCCTTCAAGAAAAACATGATTTTCATGCAGGACAATGCTCCATCACACGCGTCCAAGTACTCCACAGCGTGGCTGGCAAGAAAGGGTATAAAAGAAGAAAATCTAATGACATGGCCTCCTTGTTCACCTGATCTGAACCCCATTGAGAACCTGTGGTCCATCATCAAATGTGAGATTTACAAGGAGGGAAAACAGTACACCTCTCTGAACAGTGTCTGGGAGGCTGTGGTTGCTGCTGCACGCAATGTTGATGGTGAACAGATCAAAACACTGACAGAATCCATGGATGGCAGGCTTTTGAGTGTCCTTGCAAAGAAAGGTGGCTATATTGGTCACTGATTTGTTTTTGTTTTGTTTTTGAATGTCAGAAATGTATATTTGTGAATGTTGAGATGTTATATTGGTTTCACTGGTAATAATAAATAATTGAAATGGGTATATATTTGTTTTTTGTTAAGTTGCCTAATAATTATGCACAGTAATAGTCACCTGCACACACAGATATCCCCCTAACATAGCTAAAACTAAAAACAAACTAAAAACTACTTCCAAAAATATTCAGCTTTGATATTAATGAGTTTTTTGGGTTCATTGAGAACATGGTTGTTGTTCAATAATAAAATTAATCCTCAAAAATACAACTTGCCTAATAATTCTGCACTCCCTGTATATACTAAACAGTGATTTTTATTTATTTTGTATTTGGGCAGTGGGTCACTCTAACCACCATAATTACATTCCATTATTGCAAAGTAGATGGTGCACAGCGTACCCTGAACCCAATCTTACTGACAAAAGTGGCTTTTAACTGCAGACATTTGTCAACCTAGACCTGGGCTCCATGCCACCCACCAGCTGTGGAGTGAGATGTCCAATGCTCAGGGACAATGTGAGGCACAATAATTTATACTGCTGGTCATCTATTTTGTCCAGGCTGTACAATCAGTATGTGCCTGCCAGATGTCATTATATATATATATATATATATATATATATATATATATATATATATATATATATATATATATATATATATATGTTATTGTGGTTTTTTTATGTTATTGTTTTATGGGTTTTTTGTGTGAAAATTTTACTTTTTCTTATCTAGCTGGGCAGCCATATTGAGTCAGATTCTACTGTTATCTTACTAACTGCTTCATAATAATAATTTGTTGCTATGATAACTGTCTAAAACTGCAGTGAGCAGCAGGCAAGTTAGGTTGACAGGTCAGTGGTCTACTTACAAATGTGAGGAAGGCTGAACTTGATGGACGCAAGTCTCTTTTCAGCCATGTAACTTGGTAACTATGTATTTGTGCTGTCAGTATGCAAATAGTTAGTATTTTTAAAATCAGCATCAGGCCCCAGAGTTTGGTTTGTCCAAAACAATCATATGAACATGAAAACACGACATGGATTAAATTAAGTTTGTTCCAACATAAAAAACTTAAGGGACAAACCATTTTTATTTATTTTTTTGCTGCAACTACAGTGCATGCACTGTTTCTGTGATTATTTCTCTAAATTATGCATACTTTACTTAAGGACATTGTACGTTAAAGGGACACTGTAGGCACTCTAACATTTTCATCTCTTCCATCACTTCCATTCAGTATTAAAGCTGCCACCATATAAATGGCAATAATAAAACTAACTGGTTTTAATGTTTCAGTTGTTATACAAGAGTAGCCAGCAGCTCATTCCCCCCTGTGCGGCTCGGACTAAAGAGGAAGAAGTAGCTTAAGCAATTTTCTGAGAATGTCAGCTGACCATGTTCAGCCTATCACAGTGCCATTCAGGTGTGAATCAGTATGGCTTGCAGAGATTGTATAACTTCAGCAGTAGCCACACCTCCAGTAGGGGCAGGACTATGTGAAGCCAAGGACATGCATTGAGTGATAAACTGCTCATGAATGGCTTAACACTGCATGGTGAGACAGTGCCAGGGGACTCCAGGCACAATAACCAATTCAATAAGAATACATGGGTTTAAAGTGCCAATAGTGTTTCTTTAATGTGAACCTATCAAGACTGTCTATAAAGAAGAAACAAATAAAAAAAAAACAAATATACAAAATATGGATACATTCAGTGGCAATTTACTATTATTTTACATGAAAAGCCTGTAGATGGACATTAGTTATCAAATTCATCTTTTTATGATTGTTGTTAAACATTTATCATATATCTAAACAAAGTTGATGAATCCTTTTTCAATTCGATTTTAGATAGCACAACGGACAATTTAGTGAATGTATCACATTAGTTTACACACTACAGTCAGTTTCAGCTTATCAAAAATTACAGCTTATCAAATCAAATGCAACTCTATTTTTTAATTATATATTTTAATTATTTAGGTGCTCTTAGTGTCCGGTAAAATTTTAACAACTGTCCTCGACACCAGATTGACCGACCTTCAGACATTAAGAGATACCTAGTTGACCAAAACTCCAGTCTAGATAAAATGGTCCCAAGTCCCTGTATTTCCTATTCCCTTAGGCTATAAAACCCGCTACACAGTTTTACTGCAATAACATTTCAATGTTTGCAAAGATGAGGAATGTGAAGCTACAAAACATCTCCTGAACTGATTAATATGTATTAATGTTTTTACAACAGGTTTGCCATTAATAGAAATAATTTGCAACCCCTTCATTTGCATTATGTTCACAAAGAAAGTAAAAGTTTTAGCTTTACATTGAAGAAGAAAATATGTCCCTTTATGCTACAGTACATTTCCTACATCCTTGGCAGTTTCTTGGAAGCATATTTGGTGGTTCATATGCCATTCTACATCATTTCAGATCACAATCATTCCAAAAGCAACAGACCGTGATATTTCAGAGCGCTGAGTTATTATTGCAGT